ACACAAGTGCATGTTTTACCCAATTTGTCCTTTCCAGACTCCCACTGTTGTTCAGCTGTAGCTGCTGGTCCTGAACACAACTGCTGCTTCAGGCTTGTTTGTCAGTGGGAGGGTGGAGGTGGCTCTGATCATCCAGTAAAGCTTTGTCTTGTGCCATTTTTTAAAATTATGTTAATGGGTGGATGTTAATGACAGTGAGATTATTTTAAAAGACGTGTTGTGTCTTTTACTGTTTTAAATAAATGAAAAAAGTCAAACTGTGCCGGTCACACAACTTTAAAAAATACAATCTGTCATCTTGTAGAAATAATGAGCATTATTTTTAAGTACTACTTTATATTAACTGTATCTATTTTTAAAACCGTTATTAGCTAAAACAAACAAAAAAAAAGTATCTACAAACGACTGTAGTGCTTACACACATGAAACTTACTGACAGATGTGTGGTATACAAGATCCAAACAATAAAGATCACACTTTAATGTCGACAAACAGCTGCGCATCTGGCAAGAAGCGAGACTATTTTTCTTTTTAGCTAATTCACAGTGACTGATATATATATGTATATATATATATATATATATATATATATATATATATATATAAACGTCCCTCGCTTATTGAGGGGGATCCGTACCCTGAAGCCCTGTGATAAGTGAAAAAGCGTGAAGTGGGAATAGTAGTACAAGTAGTTAGTAGTGGTTTATTTTAGTATATATATAATATATATATAAAGGTGTTTTAAACTCTTCCCACACTCTTGCAATATTCTAAACAATGTTTCTAACGAAATTCCCTACGAGAACACAAAATGTCATGATTTCAGCTCCCTGCCTCCTCTCTGCCACGGCTGAACGGAGATCACAGAGGAGGAAGGAGGTGCTGCAGGAGAACCTTTCTCCTGCAATGTGGGCTGCACAAAGGTGCAGCAGGTGCTAAATAATTTAAAATAATTCACTTAAAATAAAAATTCCATGACGATCATGTGTCATGTCCAATCTTACTTTGAAAAACCACGATAGGGACTACTATATATATATATATATATATATATATAA